TTGTTCTAGTCTGTGCAACTCCATTTCCCCGGGCTGTCAGAAGTCTCTGTCTGCCTGCCTAGTCTGGACATCAGTATGGTGTCACCCGTTGCACTCCACTGGTGCTAGTGCCCATCTTGATTGGACCTCCGCTTGTGAAATTATGTCACCATTGGGTGTCCTCAATATCTCTCTCCACAAGTGCGGCTCGGTCAACTAGATCCCCATAATCCCTGATCTTGAGAGCCACAAGCTTCTCCCTGATAACAGGCCTCAGGCCCTGGTCAAAACGCTTGGCCCTCCTAGCCTCAATGGATATAAACTCCATAGCATAGTGGGAGAGCTCATCAAACCTCATCTCATACTTGGCCACCGTCATGCTGCCTTGTCATAGAGCATGAAAATCAACACTCATTCTGTCTCTGACTGATTCAGGATATTATTTGTCTTGGAAGATTTGGTCAAACTCCTCCCAAGTAAGCACATCGGTGTTCCTCCTTCTCTTCACTAAGTCTCACCAATGGTCGGTCTCCCCCTCAAACAGATATGTAGCCAAGCCAACCCAAAGGTCCTCGGTAACTCCCATGCCGTCACACATCTTCCTTATCTGTCGAATCCACCTATCCACATCTAAGGGGTTAGAGCTCCCTTGGAAAGTAAGTAGGTGTTTTCTCAGAAACTCTCAGAGAACAACCATCCTTTTGCCCCATTGCCCGGTGCTTGGGCTAGTGGATGAACCCCACCGTTGTGGTTTTTATTCCCATTTTGGTGTAGCACCAAAGTGGTAAGCTCTCTTAAACATTGGTAGATGTCGTTCATGGCATCGGAAGGTGGCGGTGGTGGTGGGTTTGTTTGGCCACCACGATCTCGTCCACATCCACGCCTACCGTCTATCCTGCACATCAATTCACCATTTTGTTTTGTTGATGTACAAGACATCCTAAATATCACTTTAGTCTAAAGCATAAAGTTTAGATAAAATTTCATCCAACAATATCGTTCAACCTAGTCCTATTTCTCTAGCAGTGATCCATAACCTACAGCTCCCAAGTAAGACCTAAAACCTAAAATTTGATACCAAAACTTTGTAATGCCCCAAAACCCACCTTGGACGGTATTACAATCTATAAACCATTCACATCATGAGAGCAACTAAATAAATTCATCATTAGAGAAATTTCATTCATCAATTATAACAATTACCATATTATCCCAAAAGAATAGGCCAACCATGGCCATTACATCCCAAAAGAATGTGATTCACTATGATAATTACATCCCAAAAGAATCACATTTAAACTTGCAGCGGAATAACAAAATATTATTCTTTACATAATCTCAAAAGAAATTTTCTAGTCTAGCACCTAGGAGAGTATAACTCTAGACATCCACCTCGGGATCCATGAGCCCATCTAGTGGAGCTTCCCAATGTGTCGGCTCCTTAACCCCGAGCTCTTCTTCTAGACCACAATCTGAAAAATGTAGTTTGTAGGGGATGAGCACGAAGCTCTGTAACAACATTCTTCCCAAACTCGAATAAGGTTTAGAAAAGCATATAAAAACGGTAGGTCACCTTTCACAGATAGCATATATGAATTTTGCAATAAAACATGAACATTTAAACAGATCTCAAGTTTAAGCAACAGTAGTAATTTAATGCATAAGTGAAACCAATATACAACTAATAATCCATTCTACTATAACCGTTTCTCCCAAATTCTTGCAGAATCTCATACTTCCCAAAATTCTTGTTGAAACTATTTATGGTACAATGAACAATAACCCACCACTGTATTCGTATCTCTGGAATGAATTAAGACCTCGCATGGATACCATCGAAAATATCCTGGCCCACGTACAATCCACACAAATCCTCGCAAGAATGTCCAACCTTTAGGAAGGGCGTATGCCAACACCATGGCAGTGACGTATCCAACCAAAGAGTAGTATACTAACCCTTTTTCCACGATACCCAATGAGCAGTAATGGTTTAGTCATCGCAAAATACTAACCCCACTACGAGTGATAGGAAAACTTCAAACCCACATGGAGTAATAAGACGTCTACACACTCCAAGATACCCGGTCAATAGTAGCCCATGTTTATCCAACAACCACACAAGAGATATAATACCACAATTTCCTCAAATAACAACAATTCCATAAATTCCCAATTTCACAATTTGTATTACAAGAGAACAATTTAAGAAAAATAAGCAAAACATCATCACAACATCATTTTATTACTCAACACCAAGCACTAAATTTTCAAAGTCAAGAATAAAGGAAGAATCAAGAAGAAGGTCCATCTCTTTTGTAAACTAGGATTTTATATCAAGAAAATGAGATTTCATGGGTATTCAACCCTAACTTTGTTTAATACACGCTAATAATTGCAAAAGACCAAGGAAAGATGATTTCATAGGATATATATAAGATTTAAAGTCAAAAGAATACATATAATTAAGCCCCAGCCTCAATGTAAGAGAATAGAAAGAAAACCCCCTACCTTTCTCCTTGGCTTTGGTGTGAAGGACAAGAAGATTTGATCTTGAATCACCCTAAAAACTCTTATCTTTCCTTTCTCTCTTCCTCTCTAAGTCTTTCTATTAGGGTTCTAAGAGGTGTGGGGGGAGAGTGGTGTGAAAGAATGGGAGCAAATGGAGTAAAAATGGGGTTTTAAAATAGAAAATCCTGACTTTTTAACGATCTACCAGTAGTTCGTATCGAGCTACCGGTAGTTCAGATCCACTGGCAACTTACTACCTGTTGAGCTACCGATATTTCGGATCCACTAGCCATTTACTACCTGTTGACTACCGGTAGTTCGGATCTACTGGATATTTACTACCTGTTGACTAATGGTAGTTCAGATCCACTGGACAGCGTACCACCAGTAGGTCCTACTAGTAGGTCCTGTCCAAATTTGTCTATTTCCTCTATTTTTCATTTTCAACCCATTCCAAAACCTTCCAAAACTAACCCAAACTTATACAACATACATTTGTACATCAAACATAGTTGGCATAAGTTCTATTGCAAACGATTTCATTTATTTACAAGTCAAAACTAAGTTTGAACTACTATTTCCTCGAATTTTTTCATATTAACATTTCAAAAGAAATAATAACTTGCTATATAAACCTACATACATATATAAAGATAAAAGTGTGGGGTTTACACTTTGAGTGCTGAACTTAAGTTGTGGTGGTTACGAAACATATTCATATGCAGTCATTTGCATTAGTTAAGTTATTTTTGAGTCGATACTCATTTGCATTCATTCATGTGTTAACTGTTAGGGTCGGAGGCTATGACATCGGTTACACATAAGGATCGACTGTAAAGCAAGGAAGGGTATCTGTCAGCAGTAATAATTGAAAATAAAAGTATATGATATATCAAGTTTATTGTCTTGTATGTGAGAAATAAATTTTGCCGAATTGATTTGAGCTGAGTTGCTTAAACTATGGATCAAATGTTTTTTTTATAAAAAAAACTTGTAATTTGATTATTATCCACAATGTTGAGTTGTTGATAGCTTGACATGGCTTACATGTTGTTGATTTGGACACTGGGTAGTTGTTGTGAGTAGTTTGACATTGCTTAAATATTGTAGATAGCTTAACATTGCTTATATGTTATTGTTTGACTCGTTGCTTATGTGGATATTTACATATTTTGATATATGAGGATGATTTGAATTTCAAAGTGAGTTAAGTTCACTTTGGTTGTGATTTGTAAGTTTTGAGTATCTTTTGGGTAGAATTACATTTGATCCATATTTTTGTTTTATTTCCTTTGATCATAATGTTCAGTATACTCAAAAAAATTATTGGTTTCATAATGCCAAATACTAGAGTGAGGTCCAATACTGCACTAGCATGGTAAAGATGGGAGAAAACTAAGGAATCTAGTAATGTACATACTATACAAGAGTGTTTGTTTTCCCTGTTGTTGTAAAGGGGTGTAATCCCTAATATGTTATTTTGGTACAAATGACACCATTGTGTACTCTGTTATATAGCTTATTTGTTTTTGGTGTTATTAGGTGACATTATTAACTTTAAATGTGATATTGCATTACAGACACGGGTATTGCCACGTGTTGAGTTATGCTTCCATCTCTGGAAAAACGATGGGGTGTCTCAGGATGGGGTGTGATAGGTAGCCACATCAACTACCTTGGCCTCATCAAACAAATGATGATAATTCTCTATAGAGAACTTCAACTAGCCGGTCAACTCCTTTACCTTCTCCCTATCTTTATTTTCCTCCTCTTTAGAAATTCTGAAGGCGTCCTCCAGTCCACTCTTCAAATCCCTCTCAATTGCTAGGGAACTTTGGATGTGTTCAAATTTTGAAAGAAGTTGCACAAGTTCCCCCTCGCAACATAGCAACTTTGCTTTGGTGGACAATATTGCTATCCCAAATACAGCATAAGAAAGGGTGAATTAGGTTTTTACTATTTAAAACCTTTTTACAAAACAAGATTACTATTCATAAATTTTTTTTGATTGAAAGTATGTGTACAAAATGAATATGTAGTGAACAAGAAAGTATGCACACAATAGATAAGAGAGCATAGGAAAAGAGGTGCAAACACAATTTATAGAGGTTTGGCCCCAAATCATTTCACCTACATCTTCTTTTCTTCCTCCCCTTGGAGTTTCCTTTTGACTAACTTTATCATCTTCAAATGGGTAAGAATGAAACCCTTACAATCTTTTTATTCTTGATACAAGTAATAATCTCCTATTTAGAATACTTCAAGAAGAATATACAATGATCTCTCTTTCTCAAGAATATTCTGTCAATGCAATATTGTCACAAAGATCTCAAGAGTTGAATAAAAATGAATAGAATGTTCACAAGAATCTTCTTTTCATAATATAGAAAAAAGAACAACGAATCTCTCTTTTGTTTTTGTTCAAAAACCCTCAAGGCCCTATTTATAGTTTGGTGTATTTAATGAGAGAATGCAAGTTAGCTGGCTTAAAAACGCCTTGTCTAGAAGCCTACTTGAACTTCCAGATAGTCTTCTAGATGTAGCCATTGGAAGCCTAATGGCTATATCTAGACTTCCAACTAGTTGTCCTGACTTTACAAAAACCCTACTAATTTGGCCTTGCCTTGGTTCCTTCAATGTCTTCGTATTCCAGAGAGTTTTGGAGAGCTTCCAGATGTTCATTTGGAATTTTGGATGAACAGTAACCGGAATTTTAGATGGAAGGAAGCCGGACTTCCAGAACAACCTTGCCTTAGCTTCGATCCTTTTTGATTCCTTCTCAACCAGAATTCCTGATAGGCCATTCAGATTTCAAGAGTAGTCTGCTGGATAACGTATTTGGAATTTTGGATGCCCCTTCTGGATTGGATTTTTGTATTCCTTCAGCCTTAGCCATTATTAAAGACTTCTTGAGGTCATTCAGATGTTCATCCCAAATTCTGGGTGGCCTTCCAGGTGAGCTTTTTGCCTAGCTTTCGCGGCTTTTTTTCATGCCATTTTCCTTGCCTTTTTTATTCAAACATAGCAATCACTTGAACTTGATCCTACACTTATACAAACACTAGTCCGCATTAGGATATTTTTATGGCCATCTGATCAAAGCAGGAGTTAGAATGCTAAAAAATAGGGGAGAGCAACAATAAAGGAAAAAAGAAAAAAAAGAAAAGTCCAGAAAGATCACATTCCCTACAGAAGTGATGTGCAAGCATTTTGGACATGCTAACTGTCCCCACCTTCATCACCTCCTAGACTTCAAGGCCAAATACAAAGTCCTTAAACTTCTGCATGATGAAGTCTATATCATTCCAAATGTTCCTTGGAGTATCACTAGGCTTTACAGCAAGTGGAGCTATAGGAAGGCTCCCCACAGGTTGATTTCCCTCAGCAACCTTCACTTTCTTCTGCTTGGAGAGATGTTGGGGGAAGATTCCACATCAAAGGGAATCACTTTGGAAAAAATAGCAAGGGAAACTATTGCTGAAGGAAATCCCCCCCAGATCTCAGCTTCTTGCCAATTAGTATAGGAGTGCTAGATTGACATTCACATTTTATGCCTTGACCTCTCTCAAAGCTTTCTTGTCAATTTTGGGGAAGACCTGCAAAAATGAGAAATGGAGTTTGAAATTCTGATCAAGAAATGAGGATTAGTGACCTACTCTTGAGGGGCACAGTAGCTGCAACCACAGTTGTTGAAGGGGCTAGCCAAAGTTGAAATCTAAAGAGATTGGCATTGGTCACCAAAAGGCTAAAATCTTTAACTTTGTGGTTGTGAACCACCTTTATTCTATTTTGATACTTATCTAAAAAGGGTCATGTTGTCAATTCAACGGTACCAAAAAGAATTTGTTAATCAATTCTCTTCTTATACAAGAGGACAAATTCAAGAAACAATAGAAAGCTTGTCGGATAAGTAAGGCACAACACCCCCATCAAGTGAGAATCCTAGTAGGTTAGCCACTAGAGGCTAGGAAGGGCTAAATTCCCAACCAAAGCCAAAAAAAATGAAGAAAATATCCTTTCATTCTTCCAGAAGAGAAGGAATATTGGTTAAGAGGTTGGTGTTGGAAGGTTTCTTGATCAGATATTACCAACCATAGCTTAGGCTAATGCCAACCTTAACCTAAAACAAATGTAAAATTTATCTCATAGAGGGGAACATGTCAACACCTAAGGCAGAGCCCCAAAGAATGCCTAGGCCTACCAAGATCCTCAAACTACTCAGGGTAAGCTGGACAGAATCATTATTGAGGAAAGACAAGAAACTACAAATGAAAGGGTGGATAAAAGACCTCACCCTTAAGATCAAGGCAACTTCATAGAAGCAAATCTCACCTTCGAGGAAATCACATGCCCTCTCGCCATTAGTAGGAATTCTCAGACAAATGAAGTCAAGAATGGAGAGTTGAAACCTAATTCTCTCAAGTTTGTTCCAGACCCTCTGCATAAAAGTCAAGTTATGTAGGTTGTTCTGTCAAAACATCCTCCAAGAAAAGCTTTGGGTCCTCGGGTGCAATGTCTGCTCTGCACACCAGAGGAAGGACTTTTTCACAATTTAAAATGGAGGAAGAGCAAGATGATCAAAGAATTGAGAAAGATTCAAACAAAGATACAAAATCTTCGTAAGAATGACAACAGATTTGAGACTTAAGAAGAACCCTAAATTTGAAACACATGATTTCTTCACAAGGAAACAAAATATGTAGAAGAAAAATTGGAAAAGTAAAGCCTAAACAATGTGATGTCCCAAAATTTAGGGGTCCTTTCTCAACTCGTTGATCACCCATCAACCTATGAAATACTCGTGGATATCATATAACCCAATACCACATTGTTACACTCCATTCACAGAGAGCTTTACCCCAATACATAACCTTTGCATAAATTAATTATACAACCATTCCAAGGTCCACATCCCAAAGTCTAGGACTAAAAAATTTAACCATTCATATCATTCAAAGTAAAGAGCTCAAGTTATGAAGGTTGGAAGTGTTGAAGTTCAAAAATAAAATTTTGGGAAGATGTAATGGTACCTCTGATAAGGAGTACTGATACCTGAGCCCTCTGGAAGACAAGTACCGGTACCGGTACCTAGGCCCACTAGAAGCTAGGTACCTATAAGGTATCGGTACCCAAGGCCCAGATTTCCCAAATTTTCCAGATTTTAACTTTTGACCCTACCAACTCATACAACATCCATTCATAATGAGATTACATGTTCATATACAAAGTATCCTTACAAGCCTTTACCAAAATACAAGTTTTATATTAAAAAATGTACAAGGCCAAAAAGGTAATGGTCTCTTAAGGTCTGGAGAACGATCCTCAAGTGACCCTTATGCTTCTCCTCAGACTTGGAGTAGATCAGAATGTCATCAACAAAGATTACAACAAACTAGTCAAGACAAGGTGCCTATAATTGGACCTTTAGCTCTTGTAATTCTACTAGCGCCATCCTATGCGGTGTCATAGAAATAGGGGATGCACCAGGTTGTAACTCAATGGTAAAGTCTACATTCCGATGTGGTGGAAATCCAGGTAACTCATCTGAAAAAATATCCGCATACTCACAAACTACGTGAGGTAGACCCAACTCCTGTCTCGTCTTATCCTTAAGTGTAAGGCTCACAAGCTAACCTAGCAACTATCCATGCCAATGAGAGTCATACACGGCTTGGGGTAAAACATTGTATTTTTTCCCCTGAAACATGAAATAGACACTCTCTGGTGTATAAGCAGTGACCTTATTTCAATCACAATCAATGACGGCTAGTTGTGCAGCCAACCAATTTATCCCAAGGATGACATCAAACTTTGACATGTCCATGACCCGAAGGTCCACCTGAGATTTCTAAGTCACATTATTGACATATCTTATCAATACATACCCTGGCTCCTAGGAGAGAATTTACTTGCAATGGCTCCTCTAAGGTCTCAACCTCTAAGCCTAAATCTTCTACACAAGTGCATCAATGAATGAATGAGATGCATCCAAATCCAATAACACCTTTGGCTATAAGTGAGAGAGTAGGAATGTTCCCTAAATCACTAACTCATCCGTCGACTCAGTCTGTGGTGTGATGGAGAAGACTCACCCTTGAGTCCCTAAAGTCCCTGCCTAGATGCCCTACCCTCAACCTCGGCCCAAACCTTGGCCCATCTGGCCTAATTGCAGAGTCCATCTACATGAAGTAGTAAGGGCTTGTGTAGCACCCTAGAATTGGCACTGACTTCCTGACCCATGATAGGATAGGAAGGAATGAAAAATGTTTGTAGCGGTCCCACTGATGACTGAAATTTAGATGTCCCATAACTCTAGGATCCCTGGCTCTCAGAACAACCTCATTTCAGGTGGCTTGTTGTTGACATAGGTAGTAAGTCTCCTAACCAGCCTAGTAGGGGGGCCTGAAATTTCTCTCACCTTGGGAGGATTGACCTTAGCCTTGGCTTTGATAGCCTCAACTCCGCCCTTGTGATCCCTCTAAGGTAGATGTCCTTTGCTTCTTCCTTTAACTAGTAGAAGAGGACTGACCCTCCTTCTTCTTTTCCTTGGCTCCGGCCTCCTAGATACTCTTCACATCGTTGACCTCCCTCTCAATGGTCATGGCCGTCTTAACCATCGAGTCTAGGTCGTGTAGGCGATAGCCCATAATCTTTCCTTGGATGGACAACTTCAAGCCGTCCTCAAATCTCCTCACTTTGGCCAAGTCAGTGTTATGTAATTATTGAAAAAATAGGCTAGCTCGGTGAAATTCGCCACATATTGCATCACTATCATTGTCCCTTACTTTAGGTCTAAAAATTCTCAGGCTTTCACTTGCCAAAGAGTTGAGGGAAAATACTTGCCCATGAAGAGCTTACAGAACTCTTCCCAAGTCATTGCCTCAATATTCTTTGAGGCCTTTGCCTAATTCCACTATAAATGGGTTTCTCCCTCAAGTTGGAGCATTGCTAGTCTTATCTTAGTGGCATCGGATGTGATCTCCATAGCCTCTAAAATCTTATCCACTTGTTAGAACCAATGATCAGCCACCATTGGGTTTGTTCCTCCTATAAAAGTTGGTAGCTTATGTGCCTTAAATTTCTGAAGGTTGCTTGAGCCTCCATAACCTAAAGTAGCCACCATTGCACCCATAGCCTCCATGAAGGCTTGTTGGTCAAAGGCCAAGGGTGGTGGTTGGTTGTTCTGTCCACCCCCTCGACCATTGCAATGTCATCTTCCTCTAATTGCAATTTAAACACATATAAGATAGCAGTAGACCACTAACTTAGTATCTCAAAGTTAAAATGTTGAAAATTTTCCTCTTGTCTCACTGGTAAGAGGTATGCTACCTACCAATAGGTGCCCAAAATGTAAACTTTCTCATTCTTTCTTTTTTTTTTCAACCCCAAGGTTATGTTTGCTAACCCAAGTGTCTCATTCTCATACACATTTAATTATGCATATAATCTCATATCACACAATATGTAGCATTTAATGCACATAACATCTAATTCATAATGAATGCAATGGCTTTATCCAGTCTACCCTCAACTTCCAAGGTAATCGAGAACCTAAGCTCTGATACCAAGTTGTGATGTCCCAAAATTTGGGGGTCCTTTCTCAACTTGTTGATCATATATCAACCCGCAGAATACCCGTGGATACTATATAACCCAATATCACGTCATTACACTCCATTCAT